TGTTATTAAACAGACATTTGTGGCTTTTTATAGGGAGAACGCTTGCCAGGCGAAAACCCACCACGTCCTGCAACACTGCCGTAAAGCATTTTGAACATTAATGTTGAACTGGCAAAGCCGCTTGACGACTGGTTTCACCTTCGGTTTTTCGCGGGGTAATGGCTTCTAATTTCCTCTGTTAGTTGGACGGGTAATTTGATCTGGGTCGCCATGATTTTTGAGGTCGGTGGAGGAGAGGGACATCGCGATTTTTCTTCTTGTTGTATGTCCAGGTGAGCAAAAGTTTCAATTTTTCCACTGTCCAGATTTTTCAGATGTATAATGTATGGGAGTATGAGGATATGTCCAGTTCTCCATACTGGACAAGGGTTATGGTGATTGTTGGTCGGTCCTTGCGGAGTTTTACCATCCTCCATGTCGGTCCTTGTGGGTTGTTACGTCCGTCTTGGGCCAAAACTGTTCCTCAGTCCAATCCCAGATCTCCAAGATGTCCCGGACCTCAGAGAAAAGGGAAAGTGAGGGACAACCGAGAGAAGACCGCAAGAACAGGCATGGAGTTGAACATTGTTAATGTCTTGTGTTATAACATTTGGGCTTGAGACAAAAGCATGTACACTGTGCAACAATAATTATGCTGAAAATGTCTTTTGAGTATCCTATAGAATCATTAGCCGTATAGGTGGATTGCTATCGCCTGCGTAGAGACAAGAGCGTTGCACCAGTAAGTAAAGTACGAGTATCCGTTTGATATGAGTCGATAGTTGCGTGGGGATAGAGCAAAGAGAGTTAGAATGTTGGCAGTGATTGTCAGGTGCATGAACAGCACGTAGTTAGTGTAATCCGAGAGGGGGGCATAATAAGCGGAAATAAATAGGTTGCTGCGAGAGAGTCTTAAAGATCAATTGGTGGCAAGCCAGCGGAGGGACTGGATGCAGATATTCTAAAGGAGTAAAGGTTATTGAGATACGGGGTGGCTACTAACAAGCACTGGCTCATCGCATATGCATGGGGCCAATGGCCATTAGCTACTTCTGAAGAGAGATGCCGAATTTATGACGACCGACAGATGGTGGCGCTAGGAGTGACTCAGTCGCCAGATGCAGCTATTCTAATCAGACGCTTTGTCATTAGTGTATGCCTATAGGGTCGATGAGTGTATCTATAGGCCAGTAAAGGTAAGTGATAGGTCAATAGATCAGCTAAGCTGTGACGCAAACAATCCAAGAGAATGAACGTTGCAAGAGGGAGCGAGCTCCGGATATCCGCAAAGTTATATGTGAGCTATAGCGACTAGCTGCTGCTAAGCAGAGATAGTGGCTCTAGAAAAGAATGAATCAGTGGCTGCTGTAGCCATGTCATTAAGAAGTTTGACCAATACTGGATACCTACAGTTTCGATGAAGAAATCGACATGCGAGCGAAGCTTTAAGAAACAGACGGCAGAAGAGAATGAAGGTTGGAGAGTCAGGGGTGGCTCCATGTAGATTACAAGGAGCCAACAATGACTATCTGTTGTCAAGTGGAGTTGACGCGTGTAGGACGAACGACAAATATCGGCGCCTTAAGAGAGAGATGAGTGACCAGCAATATAGTTCGGATTAAGCCTTCAATTACTAATGGACCCTACGGTGGCACATAATAATTCAACAAACCATCAGAGCTGTGATGCAAGCAATCCGAGAGAATGAACATTGTAAGAAGGCAGCGACTCCTACAGAGCTCCGGATATCCGCAGAGTTAAATGGAGGCTATGGCGACTAACTGCTGCTAAGCAGAGATGTTGGCTCTGGAAATGAGTGAACCAGTGGCTGGTGTAGCCATAGCATAAAGACGTTTGCCCAATACTGGATACCTACTTTTTCGACGGAGGAATCAACATGCGAGCGAAGCTTAAGAGAGGCAGACGGCAAAAGAAAATGAAGGTTGGTGAGTCAAGGAGTGGCTACTTGTAAGCTACATGGATCCAACAATGACTAGCTATTGCCAAGAAGAGTTGAACAGAGTAGGATAACGGCGCGCTAGGAGAGAGATGAATGGCCAGCATTGGAGTTCGGATTAAGCCTTTGGTTACTAGTGGATCCTACGGTGGCACATAATAGGTCAACAAACCATCTGAGCTGTAAAGCAAACAATCCAAGTGAATGAACATTGTAACAAAGGAGCGACTCCTACAGAGCTCCGGATATCCGCAGAGTTAAATTGAAGCTACGGCGACTAGCTGCTGCTAAGCAGAGATAGTGGCTCTGGAAAAGAATGAATCAGTGGCTGGTGCAGCCATATCATTAAGACGTTTGACCACTATTGGATACCTGCAATTTCGACGAAGAAGTCAACATGCGAGGGAAGCTTAGGTGGACATGCGGCAGAAAGAAATAAAGGCTGGAGAGTCAAGAGGTGGCTCCTTGCATGCTACATTTAGCCAACAATGACTAGCTGCTGTCAAGAAGAGGTGACGCGTGTAAGTTGAACGATGGATAACGGCACGGTAGGAGAGAGATGTGGAGTCGGGAAAAGAATAGTGTGGGAAGGTAAGAAGAGGCGATTATAAGTGGTCTGGTCCAGTTTCAAAAGCTCTTCTTCAGGACAGTTGATATTCAGTAGTTTGGAGACTTGTGTGACAGAGAGGTATTTGCTAATAGAGAAGCGGAACTGGTTTATGTTCATGGATGCCCTTATTGGGAGAGGTAACCTATTCCATACGTGTGCGTATCTGTAGAGGTAGAAGTTGGAGCGAATGCTGCTGCGCGTTCTTGGCAGGATAATGGAGTAGGGTCTATCACGTAGGGGGTACGAAGTGATATATGAGTCTGAGACAGGGGTTATTTGGCTCCCACTGATGTTGTTAATGAGCGAGTATAGGAAAGCGAGGTTGGTTTTCAATCGGCGCAGCCATAACGGGTCGAGCTTAAGTGTGTTGCACCGATCACGGTAGCTCAGACTTGAGTGCCCCAGGAGGCGTTTTGTGAAGGTACGCTGAACCTTTTCGAGGGCTATTCGGTCGCATTTTCTAAGGTTGGTGAATACTATAGAGCAGTATCCTAGCAGGGGCCGGGCACATGTTTTGTAGAGCACAGTTCCAGGTTCCCGTATTGTCATGGTTTTGAGGATGTAACCGATGAGAGAGCGTGCTTTAGCTGCGGAATAAATTACTTGTTCCGCGAAGTTCAGCGAAAAGGAGTAGTGCACACCTAAGCCACGCACTGTTAGGCAGTTCCCTAATGGCGTGCCTTGCAGCATTAAGGTATTTGGAGGCATGGTGCATCGGTACGTAAGGACATTGCATTTTGATGATGTAAAAGCCAACTTCCATTTGTCGCACCATGCAGTTAGCGATCTTAAGTTGTGTTGTATATGGGAAATGGCGGTGTGGAAGTTGACGGATGAAATGGGAAGACAATTTTGATGTCGTCCGCAAATAGGTAGGGTGTCCCATGGTTGAAAACCTGGAACACGTCATTGATATAGAGCAGAAAAAGTGGAGGGCCTAAAACGCTACCTTGAATTACGCCACTTTTGACTGGTTTAGGGAGTGATATAAATTCTCCAACCATTACTGACTGTGAGCGAGCTGCAAGATATGATGAGAACCAGGTGTGCAGTTTGCCGGAGATACCGTATGATTCCAGCTTCATCAAGAGTTCTGTATGTGGTACTCTGTCAAAAGCTTTCGTCATGTCTAGGAAGATGATGGCTAGTGCTTGCTTGTTGTCAATCAGTTGAGTTACATGGTTGAGGAACTCAAATTGGCAGGTCTGACAGGATTTAGACGGCAGAAGTCCATGTTGTTGTCGATTGATGAGGTTGCGAGTAAGCAGGAAGGTGAGCATGGTTTCTTTGACTATTCGTTCCATTATTCTTGAAGCTATAGGCGTGTGGCTAATGGGGCGATAGTTTTCCATGTTCTGCTGACTGCCATTTTTGTGTTTGGGGATGACGATGGCATGTTTCCATGTGGTTGGATAAATCCCGTTAGTCATGGAAAGCGTGAATAGGTTGAGAAGTAGAGCTGGAATGTCCTGGCCACCGAGTATCAGCAACGCAGAGGGAAGACCATCGGGACCAGGATGTGATGAGCATTTGACTGAGCTGATTACTCGGGTGATAGAACGCATGTCGAACTTAATAGTGTCGAGTGAGTCATTGGTGCGCCTAGCTGGCAAAGCAGGCGCGGTTCCATTAGCGTCAGTGAAAGAATTGCAGAAGTATCCATTGAGGATCTCACATATTTTTGATGGATCGCTAATAATGGATGTGTCAGAAAGCCTGAGTGAGGCAATAGGCGTAGATTTTTGATTGCTTCTTTGTCGGAGTAGTTGCCCGAGTGACTTGGTTTTATTGCTAGATTTGAGGGCGGCGTCTTCTTCAGCAATCTTGGTTGATTCCTGCGCAGTTTGCCAGTTAGTTAGGATTTCATTCGTGCGAACAAGGATGTGAAATTCCTTAGTTCTGGAGTATCGCTGTCGCATTTTTTGATCTTCCTAAGTACACCGTAGGCCTTAGCTGATTTCGCTGTCATCTTTAAGCGGCTTTTGCAGGTGAGTGGGGCGAGCACATCTAGGCAGCTGAAGAGATTTAGATACAGGATGTGTGCGGCTGCGTCTACATCGGTAGCTAAAAAGAAGTTGTCCCAGTTCGAAGATCGCACTAATATCTCAAAGCTGTCCCAGTTAATGTGGTTGAACATTCGAAACTGTTTGACAGAAGAAGAAGTGGCGCTGTGTGGAGTAGAAAGTGTAAATATGAGTTTGACCACCTTGTGGTCGCAGCCATTTATATTATCTAATATACCAGCAACAGCATCGGAGACACCTTGCGTAAAGATTAAGTCAAGGGTGTTAGAAAGCCTGGTGTGATCGTGAACTTGTTGGGTCCAGTTATTTGCGTGGACGGTGTGAACGAAACTTCTGTATCTGAGTGGGGCAACCTGGTCGTTCCAGGGGATAAGTGGCATATTGAAATCGCCACCCACTATCTTGTGCCGTGGGGGCATTTGGGAGATTTCAGTGAAGAGCTTAGTGAGTTTATTAATCTTTTTGTTAGATGTGTGTGGAGGGTTGTATACGCAACCGATAAGGAGGTCAAGGTGACCTCCTGTCGTCTGGATCCAGATGGAGTCTTCAGGGTCACCTATAGCTAGCAGTTCGAAATCAGGTGCACCAAAATCGTCCCGGACATAGATAAGACAACCGCCACCGCGCTGGTTGTCTCGTCCGTTACAGAATGCAGTGTAGCCGGGGATACGTAGTAGGCTGTCAGAAGCATTTGAGGGGTGCCACGTTTCTGTGATGAGAACCAGCTGTGGGTATGAGAGCAGGATAAATGGGCCAATGAGGTGCATCTTGTGTGTAATAGATCGCGCATTAATAAGCAGCATACTGTAAGATTCAACGCAAGGAGAGATGGAAGAGTTCGATTGTGTGAGGTAAGTTGCACAGTAAGGTGTAACGGGCGTAGGGTACATGGAGGTGGTAAGAAATGGTGGAGAGTGTGATATAGGATTGTGATCAGGAAGTGGTTGAGGAGGTAGCTGATGGTATTCGGCCTCTAATGAGGCTGTAGTAATAGTATTGAGTTTAGAACCTATCCGGAGGGCTGAAGCCAACCGTGGGGGTTAGTTGTAGTGAGCATATGAGTTGTTGGAGGTAATAGAGGGCTGGTGAGAACTCTTGGTGGAATGGGCGAGGTGGGTCGTGTCCTGCTGCATCCCATAAAAAAGGGGCGGTGGATGGCATGGTCCGGATGTAGTGCTTGTCATCCGGATGTATTTTTCGTTCAGCGGGACGTATGGCCAGGGAGTGCGGGGTGGTGTTAATGGAGCGGTACAGATTTTCAGAAGGGCGTCCTCTTTGGGAGGGTGCTTTGTTCCCCACTGTTTCGAGAGACTGTGGGGATTGGTAACGGGGTTGTGCATTTGATCTTTGGATGCCATAGCGCTTTTTGTAGGGCCGACTGGGCGATAGCGTACCAGGCGGATAGTTGGTTGTCAGGGGAATCACTGCGTTGATGCAGCGCGGGCTGTTCATAGTTTTATTTTGTTGCAGTGACTGGTAGAACGTCCTCGGTTTTTGAGAGCCATGGCATTTGTTATATTTCTGGGGCTTAGTAGCATTGTTGGGCGTCTCGAGTAGGTAGGGCTTGCGCAGTGGTTGGGCCGGTTGGGTCGAAATCTGCGTGGAGGGCGGCGTTTGGGATCGGAAGGATTTCGATCTCACGCGATCCATTGGTGCAAATGTTGTTTGGGGCTTATCGGCTGTCCATTTGTGCCATGAGGTCATTGCTTGGGTACGGTTATCTTTGTTATGGTGATGCATCAGCGGGGAGTGCATCCCATTACGAGGCGTGCCGTGTTTCAGCGGTTGACCTTTGTTGGTAGTCGGTCGTGATGCGAGGGTGGTTACGACTTTGTACGAGGGGGAGGGAAGGGAGTTGATCATCGGGAAGTCTACATTGATAGATTCGGAATCGGTGTCACTCATGTCGGAGGCGTTATGGACTGACTCAGCTTCTTGTATCGTTAGCGGGGGCGAATCTGGAACGTTAGTTGACTTTTTGTTTATTAGGGCTGTGGGGCTTGAGTCGGGATGTAATGCTGTCGTAGACGCGTGACGCAGGGGGTTAGATCCAGATCCACGTTAGTGCTTGTAGTAGGGCAAGCAGTAGCTCTGACAACCGGCAATGAATCATGAGGCTGTTGTCTTGCTTTGGTATTAGTAGCCGGTGGGAAAGCTCTTTGCAACGGCGTTAGATCAGGCTTTATAAGAATAGGCCCAATGTTTGTGTTTGTTCTTAAGGTAAATCGATTTGCTATGAAGCTTGTAGCCAGTTCTGGAGTTTTGAATGCGATAAGGATAGGGCAATTGCGACTGATCTTCGATTTTCTGAGCCGCTTACTCACGCACATGTCAGGAGGGATGTTACACATGGACGTAAGTAGGCGGGTGACTTTCTCCAAGGGAAGTTTGTCAGGAACGTTGAAGACGATCACGTTTCGGGCACGGCGGGTTCGCTCGTTTATCTCAGTAGTGATGGTAGTAAGAAGGGCGCCGGCATCTTTGAGCTCGTCAGCGTTGCCATTTGTCCTTATTCCTGCGAGTTGGGCCAATGGCATAAGTTTTGCTAGCTCTGTTTTGGTAACAGCCATTTCCTTTTTGAGAGCAACCATTTCAGTTGAGAGTGCACTGATTTTGTTAAGTGCATCTTTCAAAGGGTCTATAAGAAGGACACTGCAGGGGCGCAGTTTATTCAGTTTGTCTTTTGTAGCAGGACGTTTGGTCGCCTTATCCGCCTTTGCAGTGCATGAGGCAGAGCTGTGATCAACAGAAACTGCGGTATTCGAATGAGTACGTCTACGTTTGACCCGGAGTTTGGCTCGGGCAGCTTTACCTTTTATTCCATTGTTGTTAGTCATTATGGAATAGCACGGCTTCATAATTCGTGTTCCAGGAACACTGTTTTGCCGTATATAGGATCTAAAAAGCTTAGAGTATAGCACGTCTAGATATCGAGACAGCGCGTCTAATTATTCTAATAAATAGCTGCTATATGGCGGAATAAGCAACAAAAAGTCGAAAACGAATCCTACAAATCCCAGGCGCACGTGTGATTTGAGGCGCTTCATCTCCCAGGAGTACGGCAGACGTGTAACCTGTGTAGAACTGAGCAATCTGCGCATTCGTCATGGAAATGCGACCTCATGTGAAGTGTCGTAAGTGCAAAGTTGTTGAAAGCGCACGGTGTTTGCCTATTGGTATCTGAGGGTAGTCAGATTCTGTATGTATTCTTCCGTAGTGACAATGGCATTGTTCTCCATGAAACAACACCATCCGGACTTGTACACAAACGTTTCCTCCATTGAGGGGTATAGGGAGTAGGTGAACCCCACCACAACCGGCAACTGCGGCAACGGGGGTGATCACACTGGCAACACTTCCAGGTTGGTACTGTTGCTGTTGCTGCAGGACTGTTGCAGATACTAGGTGATGCGACAGGTGGGCATATGGGGACGTGCCTGCAGACGTAGCAGGGTGTAGTGACGATGGGAGGTAAAGAGCATCTCCACTGGGCTGCGGTGGCCTCATCGTGGCGTACAGAGTTGCTGTCTGGGCAAGCATTTGGTAATCCTGGCTACGCAAAGAGCAAACAGACATTCCATTCTGAAAGCCAATGAAGTCCTGCACCATCAACAACGGTGCTCACCAACCGCAGCTCACGGTCCGGCTACCTAATTGGACAGCCCTCTTGCTGGGACGGGACACAAACTCATGTGCCTCCAGCAAACCAGCTCGCCCTATGCAACCAACTGCACCAGTGATGGCTGGAAAGAATCTGGCAACCGGTGATCACTCCGATAGGTTTCTGCCTGAGACAGCACTGTGCTGTGATCTGTACTGTAATCACTAGTGCAGTTGGTTGCGTAGGGCGAACTGGTTCGCTTGGGACACGTGAGTTTGTGTCCCGTCCCAGCAAGAGGGCTATACAATTAGATAGCCGGACCTAGAGCTGCGGTTGGTGAGCACTGTTGCTGGGGGTGCGGGACTTCATTGGCTTTAAGAATGAAATGTCTGTTTGTTCTTTGCGTAGCCAGGATTACCAATTGCTAGCCCGGACTGCAACTCCGTACGCCATAATGATGCTACCGCAGCCCAGTGGAGATGCGCTTTACATCCCGTCGTCTCTACACTCTGAGTCGTCTACAGGCACACCCCATGTGCCCACCTGTTGCATCACCAAGTAGCTGCAGCAGTCCTACAGCAACAGTACCATTCTGGAAGTGTTGCCAGCGTGAGCACCCCCGTTGCCGCAGCTGCGGGTTTTGGTGGAGGTCACCTACCCCCTGTACCCCTCAATGGAGGCAACCTTTGTGTACAAGTCCGGATGGTGATGTTTCATGGAGGAAAATGTCATTGTCACTACAGAAGAATACCAAAGGAATCTGGCTACCCTCAGATACCAATGGGCAAACACCATGCCCTTCCAACATCTTTGCCACCTCCGGCACTTCACATGAGGTCGCAGTTCCATGAGGAATGCACAAATTGCTCAGTTCCACACAGGTTACACGTTTGCCGTACTCCTGAGAGATGAAGCGCCTCAAATCAGGCGTGCTATCATGAAGGGCATATAATGGCATGCGCTGCAGGCCTGCCTAATTTGCGTGCGCTTCCATTGTGTCCATTTTGGTTATGGCAGACAGAGTTGCAGTTTCCCGTTGATATGAATACCCGCGAAGGAGAAGTGAACCAAGTTCCGAGAGAGCCGCAGCACCGCCGAACTATTATGCGACGGTAAGTTTCCAATATCTCCGTGATGAACCTTGATTTAGCCCGTCATTCGGCTGTCATTTCCACAGGGAAACTCCCTGACAGTGAAGGTTTTCCAATGTACCTCGGATGTCGGTTAATGATTGCATGCTACGTACCTTTAGGTGACGTCGCTTCTCCGCCTTTACCGTTCTTTCAGAAGTACGGCGAGATTACTGCGTAATTTCCCAGATACTGCACCAAGCCAGTGACCCTCCTCTCAGGTGAGGCTTCCTCAATATCATGTTTTCTTGCCATAGTCGGAAGTTTCCATTTGTTGTTTGAAACTGCTTCCCTTTCACATGGTCTGTTATCTGCGGCACACATATCTTTCGGACGTACCACCGCCGCTCAGCCGCGTCGGACGTATTGCCTGCACCGTCTCATGCACGCTGCATACGTGGTCGCAGGTGCGGTTCCGTTTCGTTGATGTCCACGGTTGCGGACACGCTTTCATGTGCGCAGAGCCTCGCGTTGTAACGTAACGCCGCCACTGAGCCACCTCCGAGGCATCCGCGCCGCCGTGGGAACCTTCAGGCATAACTATTCCCAGGTAAGCATTGTTATCCATGATGCTTGTTGCTTTACAGGGAAAGTGAAATGCGCCGACCACTGCGTTGCTAATTATCATGGCCACTAAGACACCTTCGGAGCACCGCTTTCGTAGTTATAGCAGACAGGATTGCAGTATTCCGTTGATGGGAATACGTGTGATTAATAAGTAAACAACGTGCCATGAGAGCCGCCGTCTCTCTGCACCATAATGCGCCGGCAAGTTGCCCATTTCACCCAATGAACCATGACGTAGGTCCGCATCATGGAGCGCTCATTTCCACAGCGACATTTCCCTGCCAGGGAAGGTGTTCTGATGTACTTCCAATGCAGTGTGATGGTTGCGTGATAGGTAGGTACAGTTTGCGTTGGTTACCCGCCTTCACATAGCTTTCTGAACCAGGGCGACGTTCCTCGAAAATTGCCGTGATACTGCACCACGCCATGGCGCCTCCTGTAACGTGATGCCTCCTCCATGTGCTTTCTCCTTGCCACATAGTCGCAAGTGTGCATTTTCCATTTGAAACATACCTTCCCTTTCCGAGCCTCTGTGGTATGCTGCGCACATAGACTTCCGAAGTAACACCGCCACTCAGCCGCCTCCCAGGTAGGTCCTCCGCCATCTCATGCACGCAGCATACGTAGCCGCAGGTGCGGTTAGTTTCCCATGAAGACTTC